CAGAAAGCCCTCAATCTATATTTGTTAAATGAACAAATGAATAGTCTTTATCTTTTCTTTCTCCATATTGTGTCTGGAAGACTATCTCCATCCTCACACTTTCAACTAACATTTACAAGAATGACTTTTACTTTTGCCTCATCTTCTCTACAGAGGTCCAAACCTTTATGTCCAAATGTCTATAGAAAAAAAGAATCAATCCATGTGGACGCCTCAAAGGCCCTCAGAACTAGGGAAGTTTTGGTAATCATCATTTCCTCTTCTCCTCAAACCACCTCTCTTCCTCTAAGATACTACCTACAAAGTCAGCTAAGTGACAATTTCCTTTTCTTTCCTCCCAATTAGTACCAAATCTTAATATTTCTACCTTCAAGTTTATAAATAGGACAAAAAATCAAATCTACTCCCCCTCCTCATTCTCTCTGCTACTGTATACAGAAGAAGATATGGGGAAGGCTCGGTTTCAAACGCTTCCATAATTAGACAACCTTAATCTCATTTCAGAGGAAGGCAATTTTTTTTTGACCTTTCCAGTAACATTTCTCACAAGGTCTTCTTTATGTCTAGGTTATAAGAACTTTTCCAACTTGCTTCTAAAATATTAATTATTTATGTATACATCAAACTTGTCCATTTCCATTATATTTCACCCATACAGGACAAAAGTTTCCTTTAAATATCTGCAAAGCTGCCCACAGGGAAACCTTGTCCTTAAATTAAAAGCACATTCCACCACAATATATTCAATATTATTTCATGCTTTTCAAGTTACCTTTTAAGCTTTTAAATGGAAACTCTGTCTCAATGGACCAATTATCAACAATCTATTTCTACATATAATTATTGTTCAGTAGCACTCCTCTAATTATTGAATAAAAACAAATCCTAAGGGAGCTCTCTGCACCTACAGCACCCTCAGTCACTTGTATTTATATTCTCCAAAGCCCACCTCATCTTGCCCATATATCCCTTGGTTCACAATTCAACTGCATGGCAACAGGATTTAACTTTCCTCACTAACTCCAGCATCTTCATTCACTGAACAAATATTATCATCCTGGGTTTTCTTGGTCTAGTGACTAAACTAAGTTTACATCAATTTTCAGCAATACAAAAAAGAGACAAAACCTTAAATTTCAAATCTATACTGTAACCCTCACCACTTAACAGTAAAGGAACAGACTTGTAGTCAAGAAATAGCTCTAGTGTTTCTTTTTAGCCACTGAATGCTTCCTTGTTCACTGTGTGTTAAAGTTCGAGTTTGTGCAGAAGAGACTCTTCCGTGAGGTCATAAAAATTGAGAAACTTTGTACAACACAAACAGGTAAAGAGGACTACAAAAATGATGAGAATGGAGTGAAAACTGACACCTTGAGAAGTTGTACAGTAAAGTACTTACAGAAAAAAATAAGAACATATAAGGTTAAGAGAAAGAGCAGTATGGTCATGGTCTTTTTCTTTCTAGTTTTTTACTTTATCCCCTATTCTTTGAAATCAAGAATAGAGATTAAAGGCAGTGTCTGTGAATAGTGAGGAGATACACACATTACAGTGCACACAAGGTACTGATGTCTAAGAGATGAAAGTTCCTATCCTCAGGCAGAGAAGAAAAGTCCAAGTGCTGTAGCAATGTTATAGACATAGTACTTCTGGAAAAGAGGAAGTGCAACCAAGTGGATCTAGGGCATACAGAAAGAAGTGGTTCTAGAAGCTGAAACCTGAAGAACAAGTAGGAGCACGGGTTGGGGAGAAGAAAGGTCACTTCCCATATGGAAAGGGGAAAAATCAGCATGTGTAAAGACTCCAGACATAAAAGAGTTTAGGGGATTCTCAGCTGTTTGAGCAGAGTACAGAGTATATACAGAAAACTGAGCAGAAATGAGATGGAACATGAGATTCAAAAAGCTAAAGCATGAAAAGACCTTGTATGAGATCCCTAGATTCTGAGGTTCTCGGTCACTACTGTGTATCGAGAACCTAGGACTGTGCTTGCCACTTAATAGGTTCCAATTCTAAAATTAAATATGGGGGGAGGGCATGTAGACTTCTAATGATTATCCCTATTTCTTCCTACACAGAACTCCCTATAATGATATTTTGACAAATGCTTTACCAAAGAATACCCCAGCAGACTTGTCTTACCTATCAACCCTGATTTCGAGGAACCCCCAAAATGTTTGCCATCAACTGCATCAAGATAGCACTATTATCAGGCATTATCCCTTGTCTTCACTCCATGTTAACCTGGAGAGCTCCCTGAATAAACTTCCCTATTGAGATGAAAACAAAAAACAAAAAACAAAAAAACGAAAAACAAAAACAAAAACCAGTTCCTTTAAACGCATTGCAAGAGGAAATCTGACCCTGAACATACAGTTACTTCAACTTACTAAACCATGTCTATTACTGAATATACTTCATGCCTTCAAACATTCATGCCCCTTTATTCCTTGTCCCCAAAAATGTGTTCCTCTGCTTGCCTGCTTGGCTGATATTCTGCCAACACTCACAGCACAGCTTTGAAAGTGGCCTGATTATTAATTAAAGGGCCACTTAGTCAACACAATCTAAGTTTTTAAAGAAAACCTGGAAGTGGTGGCCTCCACTGAGAAATTTATGAAGTAGCCCCCAGATACAAAGCACTACATTCCATTACTGAGGCAACTGTCACCAAATCTAGAATAAAACTGTCTTGATAAAATAATTGAGGGAAGGAGTCACAGGGTGACTTTTCACCTGGAAGAGCTGAACTCTGTCTATCCTGATTCATTTGAATTAGGCCCAAAGTTAAGAAAAATATGAATCTTCACTGAGTTTCTTCCTCCCTCATTTCTCCCTCAAGATGAGTTTTATTTTATTTTTTATCTCCAAGTTTTTATTTAAATTCAAGTTAGTTAACATACAGCGTAGTATTTGTTTCAAAAGTAGAATTCAGTGATTTATCACTTACATATAACACCCAGTGCTCATTACAAGTGTCCTCCTTAATGCTCATCACCTATTTGGCCCATTATCCTGCCCACCTCCCCTCTACCAACCCTCAGTTTTTTTCTATAGTTAACAGTCTCTTAACTATGCCTCCCTCTCTGTTTTTGTCTTATATAATTTTACCTTCCTTCCCCTATGTTCCTGTTTTGTTTCTTAAATACTACATATGAGTGAAATCATATGGTATTTGTCTTTTTTTTAAAAGATTTTATTTATTTGTGAGAGAGAGAGAGAGAGAGAGAGGGAGAGAGCAGAAGCAGTGGGGAGAGGCAGAGGGAGAAGTAGGCTCCCTGCTGAGCAAGGAACCCAAGGTGGGACTTGATCCCAGGACTTTGGGATCATGACCTGAGCTGAAGGCACAGGCTTAACCAACTGAGCCACTCAGGTGTCCCTCTCTGACTTATTTTGCTTAGTATAACGCACTCTAGCTCCACCCATGTCATTGCAAATGCCAAGTTTCATCCCTTTTGATGGCTGAGTAATATATATACCACAATATAATATATATAATACATCCTCTTTATCCATTCATCACTCAGTGGACATTTGGGCTCTTTGTATAATTTTGCTCCCATTAGCTTCTATAATCACAGGAGCCCTAATGTCTCCAGACCAAGGCAGCTTATGCTATCTTTTTGGTATCTGTTCTCTGGGAAAAGACTTACTAACTTGGCTACAAATAGCAAAGGCTTGCTTTAATCCATCACTTCCTCTCCTGATGTATTATTTTTGAAGAAAATGCTTTGAAAATTTGCACTTTCTTATAGGCAATGAATTATCTCTTCCAGTGTCCACTTGGGAAATGTATACACGGATAAAATATTTAGGCTACACATTTAGTTAGTCCAGAAATTTGCTGAAACTAACATGCCAGAGGCCTTTTTGTTTTATCACCTTCCCATGCTAAAATTTTCAAAGTTTAGATGGTAGAGAAATGCCACAAGGAAGCCCACAGAGTCATCAGTAGGATCAGCATATTGCAAATAACTAACTCTTTCTTAAACTAGCTCTAGGCTAGCGATAACTTATATCAAGTTAGGGACATATCAGGTAGTACAAAATTCATTCTCTAGATACAAGTGGGTAACAAACAGAAGATAATGTTTAAGTTAGGGCACAAACATTATAAATGTGTGCGCTCTTAGATGGTGTCAGGTACAAGACGTTAATGTATACCAACTGGCAATGTACAATCATCAGGGAGAACAGTTAACCAGACCCCAGCCAAATGAGGTGGGAAATGCTCCATGAAAGCAGCATGGGCACTTAAAAGTGGAAGGGCAACGTTCAAAACCAAAGGACAAGAAGTGAGGCAAGAGAACTCATCAACTATATTACAGTAGTAGTTACAGTAGTAATAATAATAGCTACATTATGTCAAGCACTGTGCACAGTGCCTTATACACATCATTTTCCTTTATCCTCAAAACAACTCACTAAGTTAGATATTATTATTATTCACATTTTTCAGATGAAGAAGCTGAGACTAGAGATGTTAGGTAAGGTGCCCCAAGTGAGAGACCTAGTAAGGGCTGAATCAAGACTGGAGTCTTGGCTTCCTAGTCCATCATCCAGCATCAACCCAAGTAGGTCTCCTTCTCCTACAGATGATGCTTGTCACAACGCTTCTGCGAACGAAGTCACATTTTCAATGCCAATTCTAAATTCGCTTTTCTATAGTAGGATCATAATTGAGGTTAACTCCCAAGTTCACAGGCAATCCTAAAACAAGCTTAAATAGGAGAAGGAGGAGGTAGGTTAACTAGTTTTCTGAAGGACAAATCTGCTCGTTTTTTCTATCTGCTATTGTCAGTCTGTGGGACACCTAAAAATGTAAAGGGAACTCTTACTATGCTTTCAATCACCACTTATTTCTTGCATCTGGAATATTCTTTCTCAAAGTTTTTCTTTCTCAAAGTTTTTCCTTCTCAATCTCAAAAAGTCTTTGTGAGGATTAAGTCAAAATAAGTAAAGTGGTTACTGCAGTTAGACTCAGCGAAATGAACCACTACCGACATGTACAAGTGTATAGAAAGATCCAAAGCTCGATGGCTGGACACACTGGAGACCCAACTTGGGGAGTATCACCTTACTGGAAATAGATCAATTTATGGAAGGATTAAAAGACGGCAGAGAGCTCATTTAAAAAGGAACGAAAAGCCCCAAGACTAAATACTAGAAAGCACCTTCATGGGGCAAATGAATGGAAAAGAAACGACTAATGAAATTCTAAAGAAGCTGTACAGGTATATTACGCTAGAAAGGGGCATAAGAGCGGAACTTCCGCTATTTTCTAATTAACTACAGTTCATTAATCCCACTCCCACCGCCTGGAGCCCGGACACTAAAAAAGGGGCCTTGGGATTTCCAAACGACTGGAGAAGCTCTAAGTAATCCGCGCCGACAAGACAAGAGGCCCAGCGCAGCGCTGGACTTCCGCAATAAAGACACCGCGGAGAGACAGCCGCAGGAACCTCACCAGGAACCGCGCAGTCAGGGACGGAGTTCACGCTCGCACTTCCCACCCGCTCAGACTCCTCCGCCCGACCGGCTCACACACCTCGGCCTCGCGGGCCCCGGGCGCCTAGAGGAAAGCCACGCATACCCTGGCGCTGCCGACGGCGGTCCCAGCCACGCGGCACCCACTCCTGGTCCACTTTAAATTCCCACCCGTACCGGCAACCCGCCAACCCCACTTCGGTTGGCTGCCTGAAGCGATTCTAGAGTTCGGTAATTACCTGGAGCTACACCGCGCCGCCATTACACCGGATTCACGTCACTTCCCCTTCCCGGCCCGGCAGTACGAGGAAGGCGGTACGTGAAATACATTAAAAACCTGACGCTAAATTCACTTTAAAACGTTATCCTATTAACTTACTTTAAATGCCCTTTCGTAATACCAAATTTAGAGCAGCTGGTCTGGCCTTAATTTTCTCTTTCCAAGACTGCCACAAAAGAGAAGTTAACTCAAACTACAAAGTCCGGCATTCGCCGCCTGGGAGGGCGGAAATGACGTCACAATTGTAATTTCCCCCCCCCCCCCAGGCTGTGAAGATCGCAATGTAGGGCGGGAATTGTAGTTCTTGGTAGGAGCCGGGGACATCCCGGCGGCTTCTTTGAAGATTGGTAGTGATGAGGTTCTGGCAAAATTTACTCTAAAGCTAGTTCTTTACCGTTGGCAAAAAATAGACCTTTCTAGTCACTTTTCCGTGAAAATCTTAAGAATAACAGACACCTTTTTCAGACTCTTTTCAGTAGTTATATGAAGAATCTATATAAGCGAAAATGTCAGAAGCGTTAAGTGTCTTTAACGATCCAAGATTTCAAGCCTACGGGAATGGGAGAATATTGGACCACAAACAAAGTGAAGTAATGAGGAGAAGCTAATTTTGTAGAGAGGATGATGCCTCTGTTTGAGTTTAAGGTACCAGCTGGCAAGACATCCTGAGGGTAAGGAGACTGGCTGGCCAACTTGGAAATAGCAGACGGTGCAGAGATCAGAGGTAATTAGTGAAATAGTTTTCTTAGTCTTTACAGTAGTAACAAAATCAAAGCCTAACTATTTCTTACTGTTTTAAAAATTATCTTTTGCTATAGCAACTGTATCTTTATGTTACTTAACATTCTATACATCAGGCCTGGTTTCTCCGAACATTTCTCTATTAGAATTTTACAGAACTTACGTTACTGACCCTTTCTTTGAGGCAGAAGAGTATAGCAATTACAGATAAAGACACTGGAGCGGGCCTACTTATGTTTAACTCTTTCTATTGAGGTAATCCTGGATGATTTTTCTTGGGCAACACTGTGTGCCCATTTTCTGTTAGGTAGGGAAAAAAATTAGTACCTACCCCATAGAATACTTTCAAGAATTGAATTAGTTGATACACTTGTTGTAGGTGACTTAATTCCTACTACATAACAGTATTATCTATTCTTTTTCATATTTAACATTTGACCATAGTTAAAGCACATTTTTGTGTCTTTAAATATTTAAGTGAATAGATTTCAGTTGTACCAACACAGGGAACAGGAGCTGAATCTGATAAACATTTGTATCTGTATCTGAATAAAAAGCACAATACCACCCCTTCAATTATCAATAGATGTAAGAAAGTTAGAGTTGAAGCTAGGGGAGTTAGATGGAGCTGGAAAAGACAAGTTTGTCCTTTCAGAATTTGCTTCAGGAAGCAAACTGTGATATAGGGTTCAGAATGTCAGATGGTAAAAGGAAAAGGGAGGAAATGGAATTGGGCACGGGTAACTCCAGAGCAAAGATGAAGAGTCCTCCACTGTGATAAAATGGCTCAGCTCTCATAACACATTCTTGCTCAGTCATTGGCTGGAGCCCCCTTAAGAAAAATGTGGCCTCGATTCAAAACCTGAGATGTGAAAAAAAAACAAAACAAAAACAAAAACAACAACCCTGAGATGTGCTTGGAAGTGTTAACAGTTGAAATCTGTCACCTAACCACACTCCTAGCAGAGTTTTTTCTTGGAAAGGTATCTGAGCAGAGTATCTCTTTTCGACTGTCACAGTCCACTGCTTGCATCATTCAGATCCACTCTGTATATACACTTAGTAATTCCTCCGGGGTTCCAGTGGCCTCTCTTCCTGAAGAGAAACTCAGAAAAGTTAGTAGAACAAACTACAGTCCCCATCTTTGCCGGTGGCCTTGAGCCGCTGCTGAACCTTTCTCCTCCACTATTCATTCTAAATTCCTCTCCCTCTCAGCTACCAGTTCTGCTGGTCTCAGTAGTTTAACTAGTGGTGTGAAAACCCTAGTTCCTGAGAAATTTGAGCCCCTATTAATAATTGTCTTCTCATGCAGGTGTTGCTGTACTTGCCTATTTATAGTCGCTATTGGGCAAGGTAGCATTAAGAGATGCCCAAGTGGATCACCTGTGTGCCACACATCTTCTTACCTGTTCCTGTTATGTAACATCAAGCCTACATTCTCCTCCTGATCAGTGTTAACTTCTCCTACCAGGGTGTTGAGTCCTCTTTTTGCCTATTTGTCTCTGAACGCTGGAAGTTCAGAGTGCCCATGCAGCAGATGTGGAAGCTTATTTCATCTTGCTGTGTCCTCTGACAAGAATATAACCTCTTTGGGGACTAGGACCTCTAATTCCACAAAGTGCAGAATTGCAGGAATGGGTCAGTGGGAATGACGGTAAATGGGGCTAATCCCGTTTTAATCCCTTGTCGTGTAGACCCATGTATTGTTCCTACTGGGGACTTTAACCCATATCAGAGTCTCCTGCATCCTGGGGAACAGCACCTCTTCCTTGTATTGTCTCCTGTTAGGTGTTGAACTTTACCCTCAGCAGTGTTCTTAGGCCTCCAACTTCTGGATATAACTAGTGGAACCCATGGTAACAGGCACCCTCCTACACTACCTTTACTATGAAGTGATTACCTGGTTGGATGCTATATTGTATTGTATTCCATGTCGGTGAATCCGGCATTGTATAAGTTCCCAAATAGTGGTGCTGGATAAAGATTGGTGGGTATGAAGTGCAAACTCATACCCAATATAGCTAATCTATTCCCATGGGTTGGAACTGCTTCCCCTTCCAGGATGAAAGTTTCCAACGTGGTCAACTTGCCATGGAACTGCTAGTTCATCTCCTAAAGGAGTGAAAACATATTAGAAGCTCAACATTGTGTTCTTTTGCTGGCAGAATGTGCAAATGAGGCAGTAGGTAGGTCAGCTATGGTAAATGGGCTTCATGCTCATGGGCTCCATGCATAGACTCCATTTTTGGCACCCTGACCATTTCACTCAATTGTCTATTGTGCCATCACTGGAGTGGCCATGAGCAAAGACAGGCTAACATCACCTAGATGAGTAATTTTGTTTACTTGGTTGTTTAGTGCTTATTCCATAATGTATGCTTTCTTGTGGATATTGATGTGTGTTCAAAATATCTTCACACTTTTGACCCACAACAGTACTCATATCCACATACACGTAGCCCTTTAAGATCGCTTTGTCTGCAATTTTTAAAATCTCTTTCTTTTAAGACCTCACACCAGCCAGCCAAGCTTTTTGCCATTTCCTGTTAATCTATTTATATTCTGACATCAAGCCACTTTTCCTTCTCATACAAGTGGATTACCAGTTGCACCCTCTGAAGCTCTACCTATTAGGAAGCTTGTCCCACTGCTGTCTTCAAGGCAATTTTAGAGAGAGGCTATGCTGTAGCTGCTGTCCAGTTTCAGGTTTCATCCACAGACTCAGCCAGTTCAGCTGTAAGCTAAGTTCAGCCATTTTCTTTCTTCAGCTTGTTGTTCAAGACACCATCCCTACCCAATACAGCCATCAGTGCAAGCTGAGAGAGGGGTGTTGATGCAACTGAAGGGTGACATCAAGGTCTGTACTGTCTGTTGATGTGAATTGTTTGTGCCTTCTCATCTTCTTGCACTCCATCCCAAATAGAATACTTTCATCTTATGATGAATTATGGTGGGACCTTCCAGAATTTATGACATGATGGGTTCAACAACACAAATTTCATTTTGTATCATTTAGTGTCCCATGGTCAAACATTCCCTTTTTTTTCCCAGTAGCATGCTGAGATCTAATTTTTTTTAAGAACTCTGGGCTCCTGAACTGGGATTCTCCTACTATGATTTCTATAAACTCCACAATGGGTCTTTTTCTAAAAGTGGCAACTCTTAACACCCTATAGTGTGCCAGATCCTACACCACAAGTGTCAAGGCTCCTTGTGCCATCACTTCAGACCTGCTGTAGAGCTCTTTTGCCAGATTGTAAGGCTGGCAGGTTTTTATGTCACTTGGCATGAAGGCCCCAAAAATATTCCTAGACATGAAGTATGTTGCTTACAGAACTCAAAGCACCCTCTTAGACACTGTGCTTTTCTCTTTCTTGTAGGGGATACAAGAGGCAGCAATTTGTGTTTTACTTAGAAATTTCTGTTCCTGTCTTCTACCCATTTTTGATGAGATTATTTGTCTTTATGGTGTTGAGTTGTATAAATTCTTTATATATTTTGGATACTAACCCTTTATTGGATATGTCATTTGCAAATATCTTCCTCCAATTAG